TATCTGTGTGTGTGCGTGTGTATCTGTGTGTGTATCTGTGTGTGTGTGTGTATATGTATCTGTGTGTGTGTGTGTATCTGTGTGTGTATCTGTGCGTATGTGTGTGTATATGTATCTGTGTATGTATGTATCTGTGTGTGTATCTGTGAGCAACGGTTAGATGAGGGTAATTACGTCCCTCACAATTAAATGGGACTAAACGGTTTACTAGAATAAAAATGGGACCAATTGGTTCATAAGTTTACATTTTGGGATTTATTGGTAAATCTCCCTATATAATATTATGTAAATTAGTGTTATATATCATACAAATGATTGATAATTATTTAAGATTATTTTTCAATCAATTAGTAAATTGAAATTGTCCCAAATCACTATTTGATTATTTGTCAATTCACCATTCACGATTTAGTTTATAATTTTACTTTCAAATCGTCTGAATTATACAGCGCACACCCCTTTACAGTATGAAAATATCATATTTTGATACACTCAATCTGATAGTATATTTGCTACCTTTTTTTAGTACAATTCAATTTCTACAAATATGATGTAATTGTGTGTGCCTAACTATTTAAAGTGTCTTGAAATTAAATTTTTATTTATAAATTTGTAGCCCCATAATTAATATTGTTAAAAACTTTAACTCATTAATTTAATTCAAACTTACATTAAATAAATTAAATCAAATTTGATTTTTAGTATTTTCTGATAGAATGCCTTTATATTGTATTATAAATTAAAATTATTTCAATATGACCATTAGCAAATTTTTAAAAATATTAATTTATCTTTGTATTAATTTATTGAAATAAAAAACTTGATCTGCCATTTTTTCGTCGGCCCCTGTCTCTCCATCTCTGCATTGGGTCAGAATTATTTTGGGTGGCTAAAAGATTCGCCTCAATTACCAAACAAGGCCTTGGGCCTTGAGTTATGGCCTTTCCTACTCCTTGCCAGTTAATTAAATAAATAATGAACATTTTCCTTAACAACAAACAAGAATTAGATTGTTCAACATTGAACAAATATAAATTTGAAACAAGCTCCATTTAAAAATTTTTCTTTAAAATAACATGAGTTTGAGGGTGGTTCGGAAACACCATAAAAAAGTTAAAAAATAAAAAAAAAATCATATAAATTGTCATATTACTTTTTAAATTTTTTTATATATCTTTTCATAAATTTTTTTTAAAAAAAATCTCAAATGACCACCTATTAAAAAAAACTCATTAAACATCAACCCAATGGTTGGGAAGTCAAAAATTAGTTTTTTTGAATTAAAATTTACAAAAAAATAAAATAAATTAAAATAATTAAAAAGTGAAATGTCATATCAAATTCATAATCATTTTTTTTTCTCACAAATATCACATTCAACTATAAAAAAAAATCATCTCTTTTCTCAAACATAAATAATTTAACCTATTAAAATAACTAAAAATTAAAATAACCTATTAAAACCATCACATTCAACTATAAAAAAAAAAATTAACTTTTTTTCCAAATATAAATATTTTAACCTATTAAAATAATTAAAAATTAAAATAACCTATTAAAATAATCAACTTTGCCCACGATATAATCGTTGAAGAACATCAATCCAAACTTGGGGATCACACTATGCATTAAATGTTCCAAATTTATGCTTCCATGGTACGCATAAAGGTAGGACACCCCTGGGCAGCTGGCTCACCATGACAGCTACCACTAATAATTTTATTTTTTTATTACAAAAATAAGAAATTAATGTGTTAGTAAAATTAGAATACAATAAAAGAACCGTAATCGTTTTATCGACTCAAATCTTGATGTTTTGACTTTCTAGGCCCATTTTAGAAATACAATTTAAAAGTCAAAATTCAAATTTTTAATTTATTTTGAGTTACATCATCTCTCACATAAAACAGCAAAAAAAATTTAAAGAGTCAAAAAATTAACTTTCAACTATTTTCTCAAAACACTCTTTACTATCTGAAGAGACAATCACATGAATTACTAAGCTAACTGTTTTATCGTACTACTACTAATATAACCTATCCAATCAATATTTTCAAAATAGAAAGGTAAATAAAGATAAAGAATTAAGATCTTCTACTCCTTTATCTGTCTCTTTATATTTTATTCATTCATAAAATTATTTATATTAACAGAAGTGATATTATAAATCAACAATGCTAGAGGGCCACAATTTTTGTGGCCACAATGGCTCAAAACTGCCAAAACGACGTCGTTTTAGCATGTTTTGCAAGCCCTACTATATATATATATATATATATATATATATATATGGCTACTGGAGAAATGCTTAATCAGCATATATCTTTACGTTATGTTTGGTTGGAAGATTTGATGAGGGGTTTGGAGAGAGAAAGGAAAAAGTTAGGTAAAATGTGAATAAAATATACGTACATTTCACCTAATTTTACACACTTTTTTCCTTTCTCTTTCCAAATCCCTTCTTAAATTCTTCAACCAAACACAGTATTAGAGACAAATGCAGCTCAAAAGTCAATATTGTGTACTGAGAATGATAGAGAAACATATCATTGGCTTAATCATTTTCATTTGTGTGTCCCCGCTGAGCACCGATCTGGATCCAAATGGTTGTGGATAGGAACCATAAAGATTATCAAGTGAAACAAAACGACTTGCATCGTGTACATCCCCAACAAAAGCTAAAGTTTCTTCAATGACTTTGTACTTCTTACCTGGAAGGATGCGAATTTGGGGAAGAAGAGGAATGGTGGATTCATGGGGAGGAAGAGCTATGCGAGTTTAGAGGATTGAGGGATTGTCATCGGCTAAAGCTTCTTCAATGACTTTATACTTTTTTTTTGGGGGGGAGGGGATTGAAATTGATTCTTTTATTTTTGTTTTGAGTTCTCAGAGATCGTTTATGAGATCTCTGTTTTTTGGTTTCCTTCAAATTGTAAAGCTTTCATTTGAGTCTGATAATAATAGTATACAGAAGTTATTTTATAATCTGCTTTTTTAATCATCTTCTTCTGTTGTAGAGATTTCGGTGAAGAACAAAAGGAAGGGTTTTTTCTGTTTGATTTTCTCATTTTTTTTTTTAGTTGGACTGTGCTTGTATCGATTGCTGTATTTACAAAAAGGATTCAAATACCTGAAATTTTCTAGTTCTTAATTGTTAGGGGGCTAACTTCTTTGAGTTTAGACTAAGACTAACTCATGGTCTAAGTTTATGGTTAATTAATGGGCTTAGCATCTTCCAAGTTCCAAGCATGATTCATTTTTTGACTAGGAAACAAACCAAAAATGATAATCATAGGGCATTTTGCTGAGAGGATGAGAGCAGCAGTAATGGGTTTTGACTTCGGAGGATAGAGGTAGAAAGTAAAATAGAGAGGAGAGAAAAAATATTGACAGAAATATATTTGACTCATTTTGACTGAGTTTCGGGCCACTCGAGCCTGAAACTTTTGAGCTACCGAGCTTTATTCTTAATCAAATTAATAGGGCCAAAGAAAGGTGCATGAAAAGAAACAAGTGATCTTGATTCAAAGATAAAGCCCTACTATATATATATATATATATATATGGCTACTGGAGAAATGCTTAATCAGCATATATCTTTACGTTATGTTTGGTTGGAAGATTTGATGAGAGATTTGGAGAGAGAAAGGAAAAAGTTAGGTAAAATGTGAATAAAATATACGTATATTTCACCTAATTTTACACACTTTTTTCCTTTCTCTTTCCAAATCCCTTCTTAAATTCTTCAATCAAACACAGTATTAGAGACAAATGCAGCTCAAAAGTCAATATTGTGTACTGAGAATGATAGAGAAACATATCATTGGCTTAATCATTTTCATTTGATTTAGAACATCTACCACACATTTATACATCTATATCTTGAATCTTAGATTTCCAATCACTAGAGCATCTCCCATCTGATTTTGGTTATATTGTGGATGAAGTTAAACAATGTTTGAAGACTTTTCAAAGTTTTATCATACCACCTGTGTTGCATCAAAAAAACAATTGTGTAGTTCATTGATTTTGCACGCTTAATTGACGAATTAGAATCGTAATAGATATGTATGAAAAAATTGTTTCCGTTTATTGCTCAATCAATGGCTCTTGAGACTTATTATTTTATAGGTACAAACAAATAAATTGACTTTTCAAAGGTTGCTTAAAAGCCTAATAATAGTGTTACATCAAGTGACAATGTACTTTCCAACAATAATGTGATGTTTGGTGTTTGGGGTCCATGACTTAATTGAAGATGGAATATGGGTTAGGACCAGCTAGCATTAGGATCCTCTTGGTAGATGGGTCCTACAATCTCAAAAAAAGAAAAGAAAATAGTGAGTTGGGTGGTATGCACAATGGTTCACTTCATTTACTTCATCATGATCTGTTGATAGGCATCAATTGGTTTGGACACGTGTGAATTCTTAGTTCAATTCTTACATATGCAAGTAAACATGTAATAATAATTAAAACAAGTTGAAGGCCAATAATGATAATAACTTAACCACACATGTGTCTGTAGAAGCTATCCTCATCATTCTATATTGCATTGCAAGGGAAGATAAAGTAAATCGAATATATATTTTTTGAATTTATTTTTTAACGGACTAAATTTATAAATAAATAAAAAAAGTAGTTTTAATAATTTTGATTTGAGAAAGTTTTTAATTCAAGTTTTCATTCTATAATAATTTAATATGGATCAAAATTTGATTTGAGAAAGTTTTGAGTTCAAGTTTTCATTATATAGTGTTTTGTCTGCCTTAGTACACATTATTTTTCATATTCTACCATTTCATAACATTGAAGAGAAGAGTTGAGGCTATATATTGATTCTTTAAATTATTTTTGTTAAATGAATATAGATTATAATTGAATCGAATGCAAATTTAGTTATTCTTTTCAATTCTTATGTTTTTGTACAACGAATAAAAATTTGAAATGGATATTTTTCATTAACTTATCTGTTTTCATGATTTATTGGAAAATCAATTAACTAGTGGAATAGGAATGAGTATATGTTCATTAGAGAAGGCGAAGAGGAAGTCACGATTCACAGGGAGGTTAGATAGCAATGGTGGAGACTCGTTCTCTGCCACAGATTCGTCCATTTCAGGGTTACATCATCGTTTTAACTCCAACAATGGCAACAGCAGTGATCGAACCCAACGATCAAGAAAAAGAGACATCACCTTGAGACAGAGGGTTTCGCACGTTTCGCTTTCTGACTTCCTCAACCAAAAGCTACATAGAAGTTCTGTGTCAACGGAAGTTCGACATTGGATGAGGACACAACGTAGCCTCGGTCTCTGAGCATCTCAAGCAGATCGTCCAGTTTGGGATTGAGTTTAAATAGTATAGATTGCCAGAGAGGGAGCTGCAACCTATCATGTTACAGATTTCAAATCTTTCCATTGTTATTCCCCTCCTCAAGTTTTTCCCAATCTGCTTGATGAAAATGGGTAAGAAATTAAGAAACAAGAGAGGTAGCTCATCTAAAATCTCACTCAAAGAATTCCAATCTAGCTTGGTGAAAAAGAAATTGAGCCATAATAGTTCAAATCAAGCCAATAATAAAAATCAAAATTATATAGACTATATGCAAAGGCAATTAGAACTTGAGTTTGAACATGATGATTACAACCATACCTGAACTTGAGTTTGAACATGAAGAGACTTATTGTGATTCCCCTGAAGTTTACAATGCCATGGTAGATTCTAGTGTTTATGAACAAGACCTAGGCAAAACAACCATACTTGAACCAATGGGAGATATTGAGACAGCAACAGAGGCTACGAATGTGCAAGAATGCAATGAAACAAAAGGGCATGATTAGGTCCAGATGTCATGTGTAGAGGGGTTGGCGGGTGCTATGGACTCATTCGATTAGATTGAAGCATAAATGGTTCAAAGCCATAGTTCCAATGGGTTGGATAAGTCTTCTTCCCATAATGTTATCTCTACGCACTTGAGCAGTTTATTTAAATTTGAGACTGCTAAGAAAAAAGAAGTTAAAAGTCTCAAAAGATACTCGGTGGGTTATGAGACCGATTAACTTCAAATTCCATTGGAAATCTCTAGAATTGGGTTTAAGCAATGGGAACATGCTCTTGTGGGTTATTTTATTGATAGAAAATTGTCTTTCTTTCAAGTGAAGACTTGGGCTTACAAGTTGTGGAAGGAAAATCTTGAAGAGGTTGTAACCTTAAATAATGACTACTTTGTATTCAAAATGAAAAATGAAGAAGCTTTAAAGGCCATTCTTGATGAGGGGCCTTATTATATTGGGAGCAAATTGATTGTTATTAAGAAATGGCACCCCGGTATGACCCTTACTAAAAATGTCTTCTCAAGCGTGCCGATATGGGTAAAATTTTTCAATGTGCCGCTTGAACTGTGGACAGAGGAGGGATTGAGTTATATAGCAAGTTTTATCGGTAATTCATTGTACCTTGATGAATTTATCCAAAACCATAGCCAGTTAACATTTGCTAGAATTTGTATTAAGATAGAAGCAACTAATGAGATTCCACCCTCTTTTGTCGTAAACTTAGGATATGGAGAACCGTTCAAAATCAAAGTAGAAGTTCCTTGGAAACCCCAAGTGTGTGGAGAATGCAAAATATTTGGTCATGTTACAAGTTTGTGTCCAAGTAAACCGATATCTCAAGCTCCTAGTAAACTCAAACAAGAGTGAAAGGCCAAAAAAGTGGTCGAGACGAAAGAGGAAGGTAAGCCAAGTGAATGTGTTGAAGTGAAAAAGAAAAAAGGCAAGGACGTTGCTAATGCTCATATGGGTAATTTTGTTCCCACACCTCCTCTATCTTCATCAAATGCATTTGATATTCTCAATACTAGTGTAGCCAATGAGGAGGTTTCTTTTTGTGCGGATCTTACAAGCGTGCTTAATGCGAATTGCTCCTCTTTGGAAGTGAGTATCCCTTCAAAAGATATTCCAAATGAAGAGGCTTCAAATGAAGAGAAAGAAATTGTCAAAGATGGTGGTAATAAAAATGTGTTAGCCCCTAGACGATCTTCACGTTTCAAAGGAGCTCCGCAATTCCTTTCGAATGGAACTTTCGTTGGTCCATAGACAAACCCATATTCAAAAGTGGAAACCAAGAAAAAACTCCTTCAACGAATTGCTAATCTTAAACTTGCTCAAGAGGTTAGCCTCTCTATAAAGTATAAGAAATCAAGTCATAAAGCTCCTAGTTGATTGGTACTTGGCCTAGCTGTGGAGTTTGTTATTGTTAGATTTTAGTGTAGAAGCTAAGCTTGTGTTTCCCTCCTCAAAATATGTTTTGCCTCTAGGCATGTAATGAACCTTTTTGTAATATCCATTCTTTGATATAAAATTTATAACTTACCTACCAAAAAAAAAAAAAAAAAAAACAGAAACAAAAAAAGTAAAGAGTATATGTTCATTCTATCTTGCACTCTATTCCATTCTCAACATAACCATTATTGTCACTTTGGAAAACAAGAGGGAAAAAAATAGTGACCTTGACAAAGATGATGCTTGGTTAGTACAAAATGCATGCTCATGTAATTTGTCTCATCTCTTTTGAAGGTTCCTTTTCTTGAAGTTAATCACTTTAATCGATACTAAAGAGTAGAAAAGAAAAAACACATACTTTTCTAGTACCTTTTTTTTGTTTCTACTTTTTGCTTATATAGTCCTTTTCCAATAAGTGCTTTTTGTTTGATTATGGTTTTGTTTTTCTGTAGACTAAAAGTAAGAACGAAATGACCAAATAGCTTCACATTTCCTTCTCTCATTTGATTTTTCAGTTGATGAATTTCATCTAGAGATCGAATTGATGACAAATTGATTGGCACAAATAATTAGGATATTTTATTTATTTATTAGCAATGTTATAGTCCATACCCTCAAAAAAAATATGTATCATATATAAATTATAACATTTATAGGTTTAATTATAAGAATCATAATTAAAAAAAAAAATTATAACCCAACACCACTTGAGACATAATACAAGAGTTATTAGATCATTATTAAAATAATACCATAATCAACATCACAATAAATCATAATTAATATCACAATAGTCATAATCAGATATCACAAATATCGTAATAAAAAATGTATATGGTACATACTCTAAGTGTCCGTTTGGCATGTGGGTTAGGGTTAGGGTTAGGGTTAGGTTGGGGCTATTTTAGTTATAAAAAAATAAAATAGATTTTTTAGCCCTAGGTTAAAAGTTGCCGCATCCAAATTATAATCATTTCATTTTTTTCTCACAAAAGTCAAAAGTCCATCTTAAACGAAATTATTTTAACTCTAATATAAAATAATTAAAAAATCAACTCACATCCCAAATGAATGCCTAAGGATACAAAACCCATAGAATTTTCCATTTATTTATTTAAGTACAAATGAAAGGTGAAATGAGGTCTGTTTGCATTCCTGTCCTTTTTACTTATAGAATTATGGTGGAGTTATAGAATAAGGAATTATGATAGAAAACTTAGAGACAAAGAAGAAAGCAAAAAGATGGAGAGAAGTTGAAGGGAATTTACATGCCTCATTATGTTGGCATAAAGGCCAATATATAGACTTACAAGAGGGGAATACAAACAAAATATAACTTATTGCATATCTAACTTCATATCTAGCCTATCTAACTTTGTAAGACTTTACGTCTTAAAAGTTGTCAATTTTTCTAACCTTTTAGGCAAGCTTAGTCATAGACTTTTTGAAAAATCTACCTAAAAGTAAATACAAAGAGACAAAAAAATACAAAAGGACTACAATTATTTGCTCTTTGCTACAGTTTTTACAATTATATACACTGATACACACTGTCTACCCTCTCCGGTTTTCAAAGAGATAGACTGTTGTAGATAAGCTTTGGCTAAGCTGATTTGTCGTGTAGCGTCGGCTGAAAGGATGTGTCTGATCACTTTCCGCCAAATAATGCAGGTTGCTCCACGTGTCCTGGATAAGGTTGGAGTCGATCAGGAGACAACTGCATTTGATAGTGGGGTCTACTATGCTTCTATCCTGTTGATGAGATTGTGATATTCTTCATCAGTCTCTGATGGAGGGGAATCTGGATCTTGACTGTATTGCTCATTCCGGAAATGTTCTACATCATCCGCGGTCATGGCTAGTTCCAACGGAAGATCCAAATTATTTCTCTTTTTGAGATTTATTAACATGTCAAGAGCCTCATTAATTTGCGTTGGAGACCTTTGATATGTTAAGGGAAAATGGGTTACAAATAATATTCTTCCATTTGTAACCATGAATGGCAATTTTGCTGAGCCATGGATGTTGGACGCTGCTTGTGAAACAGATATTAGACTGTCTATCCAATATTCTGTTAAAGAAAGTTTTTGGATATTTTCCAATCGCTCTCTCCGGTGATCTTTAACTAAATAATCATCTTCAAATTCAAAATCTTCAGTTTCTTTAAGATACCAAATCTGGTATGGTTGGAAAAAATGTTATCGTTCTCGCCAACCAACAGTACTGGAGATCCAAAAAGTAAAATATTTGCTCCATCGAAAGCCTTTTACTATCCATGAGAGCATTGTTTTGATGATCATTGGATAATCTATCCATTGAATTGGATCTAAAATTTGAAAAATAACTTGATTAGTTATTCCCCAATCTATATCCTCAAAAAACCACATGTCATGGTTTGCCATGATAGTTATTTTGGGAATTCCATCTTTCAAATTTAATTTATCATAAGATCATTCTAAGATTTGTCTAATCTTATTATGATGATCTTCAACCCGATTTTTGATTAATATAAAAATTTCTTTTGGAAGCAAAGTACTTGTTTTTTCAAAAAGACAAATTCTTTTTATTTGTTCAAAAACTGGATCAGAAAACTCATCTAATGTGAGGTCTGATAGTTGAAGAAAATTGTTTATTTTTTCAAAATTAAAATCTTCATTCAAATTCATTTGTTTAAGAATATTGAAATAAAGATTTTGCAAATCTTTTAATTTAGCTGTTTGCTCAGCTAATTTGTTGGCCAAAACTCCCATGTGTTTTCGAAATTTCACTTTGTTGTCTACAATATGAGTTTTCCAAACTCCATTGAGTTCTATATAAATTTCTCTGGATATACCAGGATTGAAAAAATCTTTTATTTCAGATTCATCTGGTCTAGATGTCTGAATATTAGTTGGAACTGGGTTAGTTCTCATTTGACAAAAATTCTTTTGATAAACAGGCATAGTTAGTGCACTGTACAAAGCTTTTTTAGCTTTGGTCATGCTATCATATGCTTTATAGCTCGCTCCTGAATATCCACAAACTTGTGTTTTGCAATAATTCCATTATGTGTAAATTCCAGGTTGTTTTCCTGCAAACACAACATGAGCTTTTTCTTCTTTGGGGTTTGCTTTTTTAGCAATTGTCACCCAATCTCCTTGAGCGGGCTGTTTACCCTTATCCATTGTTTCCTCTTGGTCTAGAGGTCTTCTGCAAAAATTAAATTTACTTATTTAGCAATTTAATTTTCTAAAGCAATTTCTTCTAAGAAAATCTGCAAGAAAATTATTAGTACCTTTAAGATGTTCTACTTCAAAAGTATATTCAGAAATTTTATTATACCAGGCTAATCTTCGTCCTTGTTCAATAGGTTTTTTATTGATCAAGAAATCTCTTAATGCTTTATTATCAATGCGTACAGTAAAATTTTCTAGGGCTAAATAAATATGAAAACTTTTTATTGCCAATTTTATTGAATGTAATTCTTTTTCAGAAATAATATATTTTTGTTCATTTGGTTTAAATGTTCCAGAATCATATCCACAAATTAATTCTTCTTTTTTGTAATTTTATGGGTATTGAATTTTTTCTTGGTCTAATCCCATTTTCTGATAAAGGTTATCATACCATAAATTACTTGGTATTGCTTTAAGAACACATCCCCAGCATGCTTCTGAGGCATCTGTTTCTAAAATTAATTTATCACCTGTTTTAGGAAGATAAACACCTGGTAAAGTTTTAACATTTTCTTTAATTTGTTTAATTAAAGTAACATCTTTTGCTGTCCATTCAAAAATAACATTTTTCCTTAATTTGGTTAACCAAGGAATTTCTATTTTTGAAATTTTTTTAATAAAATTTCATCCATAATTTAAAATGCCTAATAGACTCTGTAATTGTGTTATATTTTCAAGAGTATTAGGAAAATCTCGTACTTTTGACAAAATATGTTCTTGTAATTTTAAACCTTTTTGATCTAAAATTATTCCCAAAAATTCAATTGATTCTTTTTCTAATTCAATCTTTTTTGGAGACAAAATAATTCCATGTTTT